CTCCTAATCAAATTGCGAAAAATTCGAACAGAATGCAAAATTAGTAAGAAAATATAAAGAGATAATCAGTGAATCATATCAAACCCAACCTAGAGAGAGAGAGAGAGAGAGAGAGAGAGGGCGGAGATCGATCCTCTGATTCTTCAAGCTCCACCCCCAACCTTTCCTCTTTCTCTTTTTCATTCTGTTTTGGTGCTAGATCTTGTACGATAAAGACGACATCGTCAGGCTCCTTCCCTATTCTACTGTAACTACTTTCCCGCACTTTCTCGGAAGCCAAACAGGACAAAAAGCGTATTTTAAAGAAGTTAAATAGGGGATTACTTTCGCCGAAGGAGCGGCGTCGTTGGCCTGAGATGACTGCGAAGACAGGGAGCCACCGCCAGAAAATAAGGTGGAGGAATCGAACTGGCTGGAGGAGAACAGCTCTTGAAACCCTAGAAATCTAGAAACAAAGTGAGAAAATTGTTGGGGATAAATCTCGAATTTATGAGGAAGAAAGCATAAATAATGTGGAAAATCAGAAGGTTTTTATCACAAGAAAGAACGAGATTGCAAGCGAAGGTCCATCGGAACAGCAAGCAGGAGAGAGAGGAGAGCAGGTCTGACTGTCTTGAGAGAAATCCATCGAATATATAGACTAGCCTCCTTGTATAATATAAACCCAAATGTAAACGATTTAACGACCGTTTACCCAATAAGCGTCGTTAAATGTCTTTAAAACTTTTTTCAAAAAAACGACAATTTCTATCAAACCGTCGTCTATTTAACGTCGGTATATGTTGTTTAGTATGATGAGAGTAAAGAAAATATATAATAAATTAAATAATTATTTTATTAATTATTTACTATTAATTTAATTTTATAATAAGAATAAAAAAATTATTTTAATTATCAATAGGTGGATTTATCTATTATATTTTGTTTTTTCTCTTTTTTTCTTTTCTACCAAATAATTTATGTTATCATTTTATACTTAGATCTCGTTTATTTTGCGGATTTGAGTTTTTAATTCGAGTTGAGATGTGATATTTTCTGAGAGCTTTTCACTGTAGCAGAAAAAGTTAGATGTGACATTTTCTGATAATTTTTTACTGTAAAAACTTAAAACTGAAAACTCAAATCGGTGAAATGAATGAGCCTTGATAATCTCTCTACTCACTTTCTTCTTTTGTTTTTCCCATCATACTAAACATAGTATTACTCACTTTCTTCTTTTGTTTTTCCCATCATACTAAACATAGTATTAGTCTCGAGAAAAAAAAAAAAGGGACTAAAATATTTGATTGTGGAAGATTGGGTATTTGTTCTTGAGTGGATCTCGAGGGAAGGAAGAGCGAGGAGTTTTATTTCTTTTCTTACTAATTTTTGTTAATTAATTAAAAGGATATAAAATATATTATACGTCTAAAAATGGATATCATAATATCATAATTATATTTTTTAAATCATTAAGATACCTTTTTAATGTTGTTAAAAACACAAAGTATATCAAAGGATTTTCCCCCAAAAAAACAGGGTACCAATGTAATTTTGTCATAGTATAGTTTATTTCAAATTTAACTTCAAAAGACTAACAATTCTTAAAATATATTCATACCTATATTTGGTTGGACAAAAAGAATTAAGAATCGCTATTTTTATGGAATCGTTATTCCGTCAAATAATTTAACAATTTCTAAATAAACCAGTTGAATAATCATTTTATTCTAAAACAGATATTAATTAATATTCTATCTCCGTAAATTATCCTTCTCAATATTCTAAAACTATCTTTATGAACCCTTTTCATCAATATCCTAATTTTATTTTTACTTGACAGGTGCTTACCTTCTTCCAACCTTTGGAGAGGGTTAAACCCACAAAGATTCGCATGGAGACTATTGCTTTCCAAGAATAGAATTATTTCTATGTTAAATAAAGGAGTATTTTAGTCCAAACATATATTATTCCATTCTATTCAAATGACTAACTAAATATAATAATTGCGATTCGAATATTACTGTCCAAAGCTCAACCAAACAATGGAATTTGAATAAATCATAATCTATTCCTATTCTCATTCCATTATATTTATATTCCTATTCCCTTTCTCATTTCATCCTATCAAACCAAACATCACTTAAGAGTTGTCTCACTTTGCACCTTACAACTCAAAATTGGCCCTCAAGCTTTTTAAAAATTACAATTTTGGTACTTCTCACTATTAATGAAATATTAAATTTTTTAACGATTTTAATCAAATGTGGGTCACGTGACTTTTTGATAATGGGAAATATAATAAACTTACACAAATATATTTTAATTTCTTTTTGAAAATAAATTACAAATGCTTACTCCCTTTAACCCTAAATATTGCTTCCTCATCTGGTACTTCTCAAGCTTTTTAAAAGTTGTAATTTTGGTACTTATCACTATCAATGAAATATTAAATTTTTTAACGATTTTAATCAAATGTAGATCATGTGACTTTTTGATAATGAGAAATATAATAAACTTACACAAATATATTTTAATTTTTTTTTAAAAAAAATTACAAATGCTTACTCCCTTTAACCCTAAATATTGCTTCCTCATTTGCTTACTACAAAACAGAAATAAGAAGACTCACCAGTCATTTTATATACGTGATATATGAAAACGGTTTTTAACTATTGTTTAATACATTACGTCATACAGTTTTGGTTTCAGCAGGGATTAGTCGATGGTATTCTTATAATCCGTCATCTCATGTTTTGAGTTGACGGCAGTTTCTTATATGAGCCATCATTAGATGTTGTACAGTTATGACGGTTGGTTTCCAAAACAATTTTGTGTGGAAGCGTGATAATACAAATTGAGTATAAATCAAAAAAAAAAATTCAAAACTTTTAATTAACACTATAGATTAATTTATACGCAAATAAATTAACCTAATTTATTTAGGAATATAACTAGCGACCTATTAGAACAATAATTTGAGATTTTGACCACAAACAATTCAAGTATTCCAGTTCTTAGATCACTAAGAATCTTTCTCATCTATTATCAGTTCTACAAAGATTGTGTATGTGCGCACAACCTAAAATCAAAATAGGATTAGCACTAGTTTGCCACTGCCATGCCATCAACACATGTACGTAGTAGGATTAGAAATTTGGAAGAACTTTTCCCCCATTTTTCTCTCTATAAAACTACCCACTATACGGAAACATAGAGTAATAATTTTATTCTCTAATTTTCTACTTCCATCTATTTATAGAGTATCAATTAGACTCTCACATGTAGTATAATTTATCTCTAAGATACGGCTTAAGAAAATATGTGATTAATCTTTATTTTAAATCTCATTTAAAATTGTAATGTCCGCTGTTTTCTTTAACGGATAATTAAGAAACTTAATGGTTTATCATGACATTAATTTTACATAAACTAATGACTTATTTAGTTATGATGCATGTAATCGATATGCTCAAAATGTTCATGTCGAATTTATATGTTGAAATTGAATTTAATTTATATTTGTGCAATTTATGATACGATTGTTACATGTTTTGTTGTTAACATTATGTTTGTTTATGATGTTAAAATAATGTTAGGAGTCTAAATTAAATTATGATTAAATTGTATGATGTCTCTTTGCTCTACATTTATTAAATTGAAATTTGTGTACCATGTCTTAATTAATTATTATATATATAGTTATATATACCAAGATATTATATTATATTATTATACTATATATTTAACTTTATATATATATAT